TGGATCCGCAGCAATCCCGGCTCCGTAATCAGTAACAAATACCGCACGTTTTCCCCCAGAACTGCTCTCTCTGCTGGGAACCAGGGAGAGCGACGACCCGGCCAGAGCAGGGCGGATTGGACTGGATTGGACCGGGCTGCACCGGATCAGATCGGATCGGACCAGATCAGACCAGGCTGGACCGGACCACACCAGACCATATCAGATCACATCGGACTGGATTGCACTGGACTGGACTGGATCCGATCGGATCAGACTGGACTGGAAAGGACCGGATTGGACCGGTCCAGGCTGCACCAGACCAGAGCAGATCAGATTGGACTGGAAGAGATCGGATGAGATCACATCGGACTGGACCAGACTGGAGCAGACCAGATCAGATAGGACTGGATTGGATCAGACTAGACTGGACCAGACCGGACCGAACCAGACTGCACCAGACCGGATGAGATCACATCGGACCGCATCAGACTGGACTGGACCGGACCGGATCAGACTGGACTGGACCGGATCAGACCAGACTGGATCAGACTGGACTGGACTGGATCAGATCAGATCGGATTGGACTGAATTGGACCAGACCAGACTGGATGAGACCGGATCAGATCACATTGGACCGGATCGGACTGGACTGGACCGGACCGGACCGGACTGGATTGGCCTGGACTGGACCGGATCAGGTCGGATCGGATTGGACCGGATCGGACCAGACCAGACTGGATCAGATCACATTGGACCGGACCAGACTGGATTAGACTGGACTGAACTGGACCAGACTGCATCGGACCAGACTGGATCGGACTGGACTGGACCAGATCAGGTTGGATCGGATTGGACCGGATCGGACTGGATCAGACTGGATCAGATCACATTGGACCGGACCAGACTGGATTAGACTGGACTGAACTGGACCAGACTGCATCGGACCAGACTGGATCGGACTGGACTGGACCGGATCAGGTCGGATCAGATTGGACTGGATCAGACCGGATCAGATCACATTGGACCGGACCAGACTGGATTAGACTGGACTGGACCGGATTGGAATGGACTGGACTGGATCAGACTGGACCAGACTGGACTGGATCGGACTGGCCCGGACCAGCTCAGATCACATCAGACTGGATCAGACTGGACTGGACTGGACCAGATCAGGTCGGATCGGATTGGACTGGACTGGACCGGACCAGAACAAACCGGACCAGATCAGATCACATTGGACCGGACCAGACTGGATTAGACTGGACTGGACCGGATCGGATCAGGTCGGATTGGACTGGACCGGATCGGACCGGTCCAGGCTGCACCAGACCAGATCAGATAGGACTGGATTGGATCGGATCGGATGAGATCACATTGGACTGGACCAGACTGGAGCGGACCAGATCAGATAGGACTGGATTGGATCAGACTGGACTGGACCGGACCGGACTGGATCAGACTGGACTGGACCGGATCGGACCAGGCTGGATCAGACTGGACCGGACTGGACCACATCAGATTGGATTGGATTGGACTGAATCGGACCAGACCAGACTGGACCGGACTAGACTGGATCGGACTGGATTGGACCAGATCAGGTCGGATCGGATTGGAATGGACCAGAGCGGATCAGATCACATTGGATCAGATCAGACTGGACTGGACCAGACCAGACCAGACCAGACTGGATTGGACTGGACCGGACCGGATCAGATCAGATCAGACCAGGCCGAATTGTACTAGACTAGACTGGACCGGATCGGATCAGATCACATCGGACTGGATCAGACTGGACTGGACTGGACCAGATCAGGTCGGAGCGGATCGGACTGGACCGGACCAGAACAGACCGGACCAGATCAGATCACATTGGACCGGACCAGACTGGATTAGACTGGACTGGAGCGGATCGGATCAGGTCGGATTGGACTGGACCGGATCGGACCGGACCAGAAAGGACCGGACCAGACTGGACTGGACCGGATCGGACCGGATTGGA